GTTGTAATTTTTTTTGATTGGTCGGAACATTCTGTGCTATTTGCACAGTAACCGGCTATCCTTGTTTATCTGATGTATTTTTACAAATCAGAGAAAAAGCGGAAATTGCCGTGAAGGTAGAAAAACTTTTTCTAATCCCAGTCATTTGCCAATTTTTATTCGAAACTTGAATTCTTCATTTGTTTGAATTTTTTGAACCCTTGCTGGGCATGCGGGATGTTTAACTTTAAGAAAAAGTATACCATCTATACCAGTTAACTTGGTGTTTCAGCTAATTTTTTTCGTGATAAAATCAATTTTGTCTGTTAAACATTTGAGTTTTATGTTAAATTTTTGAGATTAAAATTGGTTAGAAAGAAAATTAATTAAGGACTCTGGTACAATTTTCAACGTCTTTTTTTGTTGTCTTCATGTGTTTTAATTTGATTGACACAACAATAGTTTTCAATACTTTTTGTGGTTTTGAAACTCCGGTATCAAAACCAATTATGTTAGAAGATGCAACTATCCCGCAGCTGAAAAAATCTTGGATTTTTAGAAAAGGTTTGGAGCTGATAATTCATTAATTTTAGAAAAAAATGCAAAAGAAATCTCTAAAAATTGTGACTTTTTTCCACTTTTACCTCCTAATTAGCTTGACTGACATAATTTTTGGACAGAAACTTATTACAGAATTTGTGATGTATTGTCTACTTTGTGTCAAATTTTTTGTTATCTAGCTCAAATGCGAATTTTGAATTATTTTTTACAGAAAAATGATTTGAAATACACTGTAGTATTTGGCTTAAAAAGTTCGTCCATCTGTAACAAAAAACTGTTGTTCATCCTTAACAAAAATCTTTGCTCATCTTTTACTATAATGATGTTTATAAAGCTTGAAAAGTTACCTGCAAAAACAGCCGGTACAATCTTATCCGCAGGGGCAGACGCCGCCCTCTCCTAATCTCAGAGATTCGACCACCTTACCAACCAAAGGGGGGTTACCCCTTTGTTATTATTTTATGACATCCATTTTTGGCCGACCACTCTATAAATTTACTTAAGGCGCTTTTGGCGCCAATATATACTAATTTTGATTGTTTTGGTGCCCCTTTTGTGGCACTTTTGACCTGCGGCGTATAAATATGGTCGTTATGGTGTTATGGGAGTGCACGCAAGATCTATTTAGTCGCCCTAAAAACAGCCCGACAAAATTTTAGCAATTTTTTGAAAAACCGTACCCGCACGCGCACCCATAATCTATCGTACCCAGCTGAGTTTGTCATACTCTGAATAATTCTTGAAAAAATAACTAGCACTGCTTATTCTAGGCTGTTTAGCCAGTTTTAAATTTCCGCTTTTCCTGAAATTGATTGAACCACTTACTTCAAGTTCAATTTCAATTAATCAAATGTGTTCGGTTATTAAATTCTAACGTCCTCGAAAATCTATGTTTTGACATTTATCTTATTATTTCTTCAATTTTTCCCAGAAAATATTTAAAAACCCAGAAAGCTCTAATTTTTTTCGTGATAAAATCAATTTTGTCAGTTAAACATTTGAGTTTTATGTTAAATTTTTGACATTAAAATTGGTTAGAAAGAAAATTAAATAAGGTTTGATTAATAAATTGGCAAGGACTCTGGTACAATTTTCAATGTTTTTTTTTGTTGTCTTCATGTGTTTTAATTTGATTGACATTTTGCTATTTTTTGCGTGTTTGACGTGTTTGCTATTTTTTGCGCTACTAATTTCTCAATTTTATGATAGCTTTCGTAAATTTTTTACTAAATAATGGTACGAAAGACAATATATTACTTTTTTTCTTACGTATTCAAAACTCGTGAATATAATGAATCCACATCAAAAACGATGAATTTTCAGGGTTAATTTGTTGTTGATAATTGATCAGTTTTCACAAAAGTACAAGGGAAACGTCTGCAAACGTGTTTTGCATTTCAGTTTTTCTTTATGATAAAATTATCTGATATTAATCCTGGAAAAACAGAAATTTAGCTTTTTCAAAAATTTTTACTTTTTTCGTCAAACTTCCAAATCCTGAATTCAAATACTTGTTAAAAATTCGACTTTTTTAACTTTGTGTATTACAGCTTAAATTAAAAACTGCCTGAAAAACGAGCTGAAGACTCGCTTGAAAACTCAACCAACGTAAGATTGTCCAGGAAAAAATTCTGACCATGTTCTCACTTCAACGTTTGTACAATTGTGGCGGAAAGTCTTCCGGTCCTACTCATAATAGCCTCCCTCCCCCATTAAATTAAAATATTAAGCCTTCCCAATAACCTTAATTCCGTACTGTTAGGGGATGCATGTGGAAAAATGTGAAAAATCAAAAGTTTCAAGCAGGTATTGTCGTGAAAGTGTTCTTATCAACTCTATCTACTTGAAATTTTACTAGAAAACCAAAATCGCACTGATTATTGGGATACTGTTTATTTGTTTCACATTTAGCCTATTCAATAAATTTAAATTATTTTAATTCTTACTTTATCCACTTAGATCAAATTTATTCTGCTAATTTTCTCTTAGCAGTTTTTATCAGTTTTATCATCGATTTAATGAATTACTTTATTATTATTTTCAGTCTACTCCACTGTTCGAAAAAGTAATAAAAATTACAGTTGCAAAAAAATGAACTATTTCAAAGTTTTTTATTATTACCGTTGCGATAAATAAGGGTATTATTTTGAAATGGGTTTGCCTGGTCCAAGCCATTTGCACAACAACCGTTTACTTTTGATGTTTTTCTTTTTGTTCCATGATATTTGTTGTTTTTAAGACAGTATCGTTTCTCAAAATAAGATTAAGAACACCATGTCTCATCTGCTTGATTTTTGTTAAACATGTTGAGTTGAGTTGAAAGGCAAAATGAAGAAAACTTATTGTTTCAACCATTGAAAATTGGGAGAAACTTCATTTTCGGGTGTGGTTTAGTTTTTTTTTTCTTTTTTTTCTTTTTGTTTTCCACCTAAAATCAGCTATCACAAAATTTCATTGGACTGGGTTGAGTGATATATCACATTAAAGCCCTTTCAGTCGTAATTCAAACAACATAATTTTGAGCGCTGAGTGAGCAGGCTTACATTAGTTTATTTATGTTTAATTTAAGCCTTGAAAATTTAGTTATTTTTTTACACATGAAGTTAGTTTTTGGAGTTCTTAGCTTCATCTTAGGAATCAAAAACAATTTGGTTGTAATTTTTTTTGATTGGTCGGAACATTCTGTGCTATTTGCACAGTAACCGGCTATCCATGTTTATCTGATGTGTTTTTACAAATCAGAGAAAAGGCGGAAATTGCCGTGAAGGTAGCAAAACTTTTTCTAATCCCAGTCATTTGCCAATTTTTATTCGATACTTGAATTCTTCAATTGTTTGATTTTTTTGAACCCTTGCTGGGCATGCGGGATGTTTAACTTTAAGAAAAAGTATACCATCTATACCAGTAAACTTGGTGTTTCAGCTAATTTGTTTCGTGATAAAATCAATTTTGTCAGTTAAACATTTGAGTTTTATGTTAAATTTTTGAGATTAAAATTGGTTAGAAAGAAAATTAATTAAGGTTTGATTAATAAATTGGCAAGGACTCTGGTACAATTTTCAACGTTTTTTTTTGTTGTCTTCATGTGTTTTAATTTGATTGACACAACAATAGTTTTCAATACTCTTTATGGTTTTGAAACTTCGATTTTAAAACTAATTATGTTAGAAGATGCAACTATCCCGCAGCTGAAAAAATCTTGGATATTTAGAAAAGGTTTGGAGCTGATAATTCATTAATTTTAGAAAAAAATGCAAAAGAAATCTCTAAAAATTGTGACTTTTTTCCACTTTTACCTCCTAATTAGCTTGTCTGACATAATTTTTGGACAGAAACTTATTACAGAATTTGTGATGTGCTGTCTACTTTGTGTCAAATTTTTTGTTATCTAGCTCAAATGCGAATTTTGAATTATTTTTTACAGAAAAATGATTTGAAATACACTGTAGTTTTTGTCTTAAAAAGTTCGTCCATCTGTAACAAAAAACTGTTGTTCATCCTTAACAAAAATCTTTGCTCATCTTTTACTATAATGATGTTTATAAAGCTTGAAAAGTTGCCTGCAAAAACAGCCGGTACAATCTTATCCGCAGGGACAGACGCCGCTCTCTCCTAATCTCAGAGATTCGACCACCTTACCAACCAAAGGGGGGTTACCCTTTGTTATTATTTTATGACATCCATTTTTGGCCGACCACTCTACAAATTTTCTTAAGGCGCTTTTGGCGCCAATATATACTAATTTTGAATGGTTTGGCGCCCCTTTTTTGGCACTTTTGACCTGCGGCGTATAAATATGGTCGTTATGGTGTTATGGGAGTGCACGGAAGATCTATTTAGTCGCCCTAAAAACAGCCCGACAAAATTTTAGCAATTTTTTGAAAAACCGTACCCGCACGCGCACCCGTAATCTATCGTACCAAGCTGAGTTTATCATACTCTGAATAATTCTTGAAAAAAATAACTAGCACTGCTTATTCTAGGCTGTTGAGCCAATTTTAAATTTCCGCTTCTCCTTAAATTGATTGAACCACTTACTTCAAGTTCAATTTCAATTAATCGAATGTGTTCTGTTATTAATTTCTAACGTCCTCGAAAATCTATGTTTTGACATTTATCTCATTATTTCTTCGATTTTCCCAGAAAACATTTAAAAACCCAGAAAGCTCTAGTTTTTTTCCTGAAAACACTAGGTAAAAATAAATATCGATGAAAAGTTTATCTTTTTTCCCTAAATAAGTTTTTTTTTCAATAAAATGGGCTCACATACTGCATTTCTCGCTCGCTTAAAAACGAAACTGCTGTTTTTCAAGAAAAAAAGAGATTTCAGTTTAAAATTAATTTCTAAATGTAATATGTTCATTCAAAATGTATCGCAATATGTGACCATATTGACTTGCTATGTGGCAAAATGCGTTTGTTAGATATTACACTGATTCATTTTTATGTTTGCACTTCAAACATTAAACTCATTTTCATATTAGAAAAAAAATAACTTAGAAAAACTCGAGCGCTCTTATAGCATTCGGACTTTAGGCAGTTGCACATTATTGACAAAAAACCAGCTAAGTGTTTCTTAATTCAACTCAAAATGATATCATTAAATAAAATAGTTCTTTTAGTGACGTTGCTATTATCCAGTTTTGGCTTTGATTTTGTTTTCTCGACCAATCTTGACCCAAATGAAATGATGATGCCAAAAATGGGAGAACAAAAGCAACAGGAACCATCTGGCGGGTCCAGAGGCGAATGGCTTCCCAGCAGAAACGAAGGCGGAGAGTTCCGGCTGAAAATAGGAGCCAGAGACGAGTTTTGTTTCCACGAGTACTTCGACCTAAAGGAGACTTCAAATATTAAGTACAACATCATCATTCGGGTTCTGAAGGGAGGGAGGAGCAAGGACATAGACATCAATGTGTACACACCCAAAAGCACCCACATCATCAAGGTTATTACGCCAGCTGAGCTGACGTTTTTTCACAGGTCAAAACCCTGAGCCCAAGAAGCAATTTCTCAAAGTGACAGTTAATACTTTTTAAAAAATTAGGGTTGGTCGGCCAAAAATGGATGTAATAAAATAATATTAAAGGGGAGATCCTTTAGTTGATGAAGGGGTCGATTTTTGAGAGGGGGGGGGGGTTGCATCCGCTCACCGCCGCATCCCTAAATGTCTCTGAATGCAGCAAGGATTTTAATTAATTTTCAACCAGAGGAGAATAGCCAAAAATTAATAAAACATTTGATCCGATTAGTAAGTCAAACTTTTCTTTTTTAGTTTTTCTGTCAAATTTAATTGATTAAATAATTGAATTTACCTCGTCGCCAAACTTTCAGCGGATAAAAATTAGTTAAGCGTGTTCAAGAAAATAAATCCAAATTTCAATTTGATGATCCGAAAAACTAGTAAAATTGTTTATATAAGAAAAGAATAAGTTAGTTTATTAAACGAGGAAGCATCATAATAAATAAACTGACCCTAAACAATTCACAGTTCAGCTGTAATTCAGCTACCCTTTTTGAAGCGCAAACTTTTGGCCGTGAAAATTTCTTGAGTTGAGGATTATCGAAATGTTGGTCCAAACTGACAAAACTACTATAAAAACTGCTCGAACTCCGTCTGTGGATGTTTCTTATTTTGTTTTGATGCTCTTACTAGTTTTCCTTATACTATTTTCTCTTTCAGGAGAAGCGGAAGCAGAGCTACTCGGGTGCCCTGGAGATCAGTGAGGGGGACTGGCGCTTCTGTCTCAACAACAAGTTCAGCAGTGTCTCCGCCAAAATCATCTTCTTTTCCCTCCGGCCGGCCGAGACAGAGTCTTTGAGGAAACAGGCCAAGAAAGTAGTGCCTACTGTGCTCACGTATTCAGACGCCGCGCTCGAGCAGATCAACACTAACATGCACATAGTCCAGAGCCATCAGGTGTAGTACATAACACTTCTAGACTATCTCACATAATTAGTCTGCAGCTCATGAGATGGTCAACGTCTCCAAATTCACATTTTTTCAGTTTAATTTCCATTCAGCTCACAATCGAAACAAGTTTCAAGTTTTCATACTGAGTCCCAGCTTTGTTTCGCATCACTTGCGATCCAAAAAAGTAACTCTAACTTAAAAATCAATAAATAAGACGAGTTTGAGGAGTAGCTAGTTTTGATTGAAAAAGCATCAACTAACTTTTTTTTCTACATTTTTGACTTGTTGTTTTTTGTTTTACTTAAGGTCTTTATTTTTTAACTTTGATTCGTTTTATTTTGTTTCACAGTATCTAAGGCCTGTATGTAGCCTTTTGAGTTCGAACTAAAGTTAAAAAATAAAGACCTTAACTAAAACAAACAAACAACAACAAGTCAAAAATGTAGAAAAAAGTTAGTTGATGCTTTTTCAATCAAAACTAGCTACTCCTCAAACTCATATGGCATCTCCACTGCATCCAATTTATGCGCGTTTCTTAGTAATTGAGAAAGAACATAGACAAATAAAAAAAAACTTATGTATGAACCAAGTATGTCCAAAATATGAAAGCAAAACTAGATAGGATAAAATCTAAAAAAAATAATTTACGGCTTGGTTAAAACAAAACGGTCAGTCCATTTAATGATGATTTTTTCATCTACAAGTTTTAACGGTCTATTAAGGAAAAAAATATCAACAAATTTTCAGGCTATGATAATGAAAGTTTTCAATTTGCTTTCAATCGACAATAGATCACAGATTTTATTACGCTTGCGATTAGCAAGAGTTATCAAATTGGAACATAAACTTTTTTTCGGGTGAAAAACTTGTTTAACAGAATCACTTGGTCTTTTGGTTCATAATGAATTCAAATTTAGCGTCTGTGGAACACTTATTCCGGAGGAAACGAATACGTCTGGGACAGGAATGACCCTGGGTTTGAATCTGACCAGGACCTGTTTTTCTATTTCAAACGGGAAATATTCCCGTTTCAAAAGAATTGTTGGCTTATGATTTGTCTGCATGTCTTTTAGCAATTGTAAAGTTATTGGGGATAGATGGTGATTGCGTTTTGCTTTTTTTTGCGTTGCAACTTTGATGTGCAAATCAAGTAGAACAACACAGTTTGTGGTTTTGCGCAGTCTCATTGAGCATAATATGCTATTAGATTTTTTTCTTGTTAAAATTGTTTTTGATCGAATCACGCCACCAAGTGATTTGAAGAAACTATGGCCGGAGGGTTTCTTTCCGCTCAATTTTAAGTATTTCAAAGAAAGCTTTAAGGGTACCAAGTATGCAATCAATCATATCGCAACTCTATTGGTATCTATTTGGGTTTTCAAAACTTCTACCTCAGTGACGAGAGAGTTATTTGAATATTCCTGGGTTTCACAAAATTATAGTTCTAAAAGTTATTGACCCTGTTTTACTTTAATAGCATAGCTGTTTATTAGCGCAACCACCCCCTCCACCCAAAATCAAATAATAAAAAATGTTTGATTTTTTCTTTTTTTAAACATTTTTTGTACAAATTAATGCGGTCGAAGCAACCGGCTTATTTTGTTGTCTGTTGTCTACAGGTGGAGAGTAGACTGAAGATGGCAAGTCACTGGTACCACGTGCAGGGTCTGAATGAGCGGGTGTCCAACTACAGCATAGTAGAGCTACTAGTCATGTGTGCATCCCCCATAGTACAAGTCACTCTACTCCGGCGTCTATTCTCCTACAGGTCGTTTTTTCAATATTTGCCCGTATTAGTCGAGAATTACTTTGACAAAAAAAACATGCACATACAAAAGTGACCGGCGGAAGATAAAGATATTGGAACAAGAAAAATGGGTTAGAATCAGGCCAAACGAACCATTATTTTTAACTGAATTTTCGTTATCTTCCATCCCGCTGTTAACTGTTAACCAATGGGTGGCAAGCGTTCGGATAAAAGAATGTTTGCGGTTAAAAACACATTATCGAAGCTTACTTTTAATTTAAAAAAGTTCTTTTTATAAACTTTTCAAGTGCTCTTTGAACAACAGAAAAATTTTATTAGCCGGGATAGAGTACAAGCATTTATACATAAAATTTATTCTGTTTGGTTCGAAATATAAGCGCCTTTAGAACTATTTTAGTGTCAGTCGCAAAAAAAGTTTCAGTTTCTAAGGTGAGCGGACCCTTTGGATGATCAAACAGTCGACTCCCTCAGGGAAAAGGCTTCCGCATCCTGCCCCCCCCCCCCCCTAAATCCACCCTTCTAAGTCCAACTCCCTCCTCAACCTGCTGCTACTTGCAGGTACACGAAGAGATACACCAGCAATGGAGCTGCAGTCAACCCTCAGGCATAACCATTCTACATATCTGTGCTTGCAGCTCGATAAAATCGATTAAACGTGTTTTAAAGTTTCAACTTCTCAAATGCAATTTTATTAATTTGCCAATACATATCAAGTAATTCATGTGGATTCAATTCAATTTATCTTCGTCCTGAAAAAAAACACTTCTTTCATTGTCTGTTTGTGCCTTGGTTTAGCTAGTGTTTTATCAAATTGCTTTACTTTTTTCCTTGAGTAACTATGTTAGAAAACTGATAAATCAGTCCGAGGCACTGATGAAATCCGTTTGCTAGTTCTTAAAAGATCTCAAATATTTAGACTTGTTTCTTATTTTTTTTTCTTGTTTCTCTAATAAAATATCTGCTTCTTATTTTTTTCGTGTCTTAAAATATCTGAAACATTTTGATTTGTTTCTATTGGCTGTTTCGTTTCTTTGAAAATTGATTTTTCTGATAGCTTTGTTTTGTCAGAGTTTGTAATTTATCTTAAACAAGTATCTCAGAGTTTATGAAAACCATTGATTTACTTTCAGTACAAACGTTTTGAAAACGTACCCGGGTCCAGATGCTTACTTTATGTTTTGATTTTCTTAGCCAAGTACAGTGTCAGTGCTTGACCAAAAAGAATAGTCGAGACAGGGATTGTCAAATTGAAAATTATGGGTCTTTTCTGGTATACGGCCCAAAATCAGTATTTATATATCGTGAAATGATATTCATATTGCTGAATATGATTGGCTAATTAGCCAATGATATTCAAACAGCATGGCCCGGCATTTCAAATAAAAAAGTCCACGCAGATACAATTATTAGCAGAATTGACCGAAAATATAGAAGTTACTGAAATCATTTTTCTGAACTTTTATTGTCTGGACATAGTTTCACCAGTGGCCTAAAATGTTTTTGATTATTTGATAAAGTTCAGTATGGGGATTTCGGCTAATAATTTCATCTGCTGAAACGGTGATTGAAATGCCTGGCCGCGCTGCTTGCATTTGATTGGCGAAAATTAGCCGATAAGATTGGAGCGCAAAAATTTCAGCTCAAAATATAGCAATATTGATTTTGGGCCATTTAGTCCATGAGACCATTCAAATCTGATTGGTTTAAAGTATTGTCAGACTATTAAGAATAAAAAAATCAAGGTTTTCATTAACAGCAGAAGCTCAATATACAATTTGGCAATTTTGGCCCTCTAACAGAAAAGACCAAAAGTTATCATAGAGGTTATGAAAAAAATTAATCTTCACCATAAACCTTTTTATTACAAATTCTGCTGCAGTATTAAAACATTTGTCATCAAGCTTTATATAATTTTTGCTGGGGAAATAATTGTATGAATCTTGGAAAAAAAATTAAAACTTGAACTGACAAAATAATTGACACTGGGGCTATTTTTAAGGGCGAAGGACCAAATGGGCGATAGATTCATGGACGAAGGACCACAAATAAAAGCAGTGGAAAGTTATTGATTACACAGAGGCAAAGCTTCGCTTCGCTTACTGCAACTGCTCCTGCATTTGCAGTAACCATATTATGGCCTTGGCCTAATTGTTCATTTTGTTATCTATAAATTATATTATGTTATTATTTATATCAAGGTCAATAATGCGTGACCTTTATTAACATTGAAGAGATTCAATCTCTCAACTGTAGCTTGGCGTGCAGTTAGCCACAGATATTAGGCTGATAAAACAATACGGTTTCAACATTAAATTAACTCTTAGAAACCACTACTGTTTTCATTATAAAACACCAGAGGCTCTATCCGTTATCACATGGCGCAGCCAGCAGGATCCGGTTTTACAGCTCAAGACAATAGGACAGATATGGGAATCCCAGTATTCTGGGCTTCTGCAAACTCAGATCCACCGTGGAATTTCGAAACATGGTTTGATCAATTCCTATTAGCTGTTACGGTCAAAGAGCAGAGAGAGAAGCCCGGAACAGATTGGCACGGGACAGAGTTGTTCTAGAAAATGAAGATCGGGTTATGAGAGGACCTAAAGTAGGACACAACGTATTCTATCACGAAGTTGGAAAACGTTTGACATCACGATTATTTCTCGCATTGGGCGCCGAAGGAAAAAAAGTTTATCAAAAAGAATCCGCACACAGAAATATCCAAACTTGGTTTTCGGGAAATAGTGCGATAAGCAAAAATCTCATCTGAGAAAACGAAATGTATTACTTACGAGAGATACAAATTGTTTACACGATCTCATGAAACGAATGAAACTCTCGAATCCTTTCATGCGGCATTGACTGCACAAGCAGCAAAGGCGGAGCTGGGAGAACTGGAAGAAGAGTTGGTGAGAGATCTATTTATATCCCGGATGAGGAATGTTGTTCTTCAAGACACACTAACTTTTGAAACATTTTCTCCTGACATTCGAACAAAGTAAACAAACTACTCAAGCATTTCAAAAGTCTTCAACGAGTACTAACAACTTAGAATTACTTTCAAATTCACAAATGAAAATAAAACAAGAACCGGTTATGGCAATTGGAAACAAGGGGTACAACCATAAACGACAAGGCCAGAATCAGAATAGAAGGAAGCAGTATGACAACAGAAATGCTGCAAGATTTAAGGGGGATCAAAAACAATGCACGCGATGTGGCAGAGTGTTTGGAGAAGGACAACTGAAAAACGAAGGACATTTAAATCGTGTAAGAATTGTAACAAACCCAATCATTTTGCAAAAATGTGCAAATCACAGCAAGTTAATGAAGTTGCAATTGAAGATTCTAGTTCGGAAGAGGAATGTAATTGAATACAAAATTTTGATTCCTGTGACGAATTTGAGATAATGGCGGTAGAAGAGGATTTAACCTCTATTGCAGAAATTGAAAAATACATCAACAAACGAGTATTAGCGAATGTGTACGAAGAAGGAAACGACGAGAAGAAAGCGATGATTGCAAAGTCTGAAACTATTGAGAAAGTTGAGATTCGAAGGAATCCAAAATCTCATCAAATTAAAGCATTGAAGGCTTTAGTGAAAATTGATAGTCATATTTTGAATATGACTATAGACACGGGTAGTCCAGTATCACTTCTGAATTGGGCGACAACGAAACAAATTCTGGAAGGACCTACGAATTCAAAATCTATTCCAGCAGAGAAGCTTAACCTGTCCGCGCAGTTTGTGGATTACAATAAACGACCTATTTTGATATTAGGAGCATTGAAAGCGAATCTGCGTTCGGCGGGTTGGGAAGTGTTTGGATCGATACTGTTAGTCACGGAAAGACGTATGCGGTGTATACTAGGTCTGGACCTTCAAGGTAAACTAGGAATTCAGACTACTCAGAAACCAGCTCCAACACGAAGATCCAGGTTTGACGTGCTACTGTGCGAGCAGTCAGAGGGTTGGAAACAAAAATTCTATAATCAATTTAAAGACCTTTTTGACAGACAAGGGGAGTCAAAGAACCATACTGTGAGTACAAAATTTATTTATCCTTTATGTCTGATCCAACAAAAAGGTAGGAGAATCCCGATACACATTCAGGATAAGGTACAAGCAGAGCTAGAAAAACTACTTGCGGAAGGACATATTCAGAAATTGGATAAATGTACAAGTGATTGTTTTATTGCTCAAATTGTCAGCACAGTTAAGAAAGACAATTCGATTAAGTTAGCCTTGGACGCAAAACCCATCAATAGACAATTAAATAAAAATAAATATCAGATGCCAAACGTGGAGGAACTGATAGATGGGGTTAGTCAAATAATCACGGCAACAGCAGAAGGTACACTGTATTTCACCGTGTTGGATTTAAAGTATGCCTGCAGTCAAATAAGGCTAACTGCGGACACAGCAAAACAATGCAATTTCAACATCGTAGGTCAGGCAACGGGAACATATAGGTTTCTGACAGTCTTTTACGGGCTGGCGGACATGCCCGCTGATTTCCAAAAAGCAATGGATAGAACATTGAATCATTCCAAAAACACCTTTTGCTTCCTGGATGATATCTTAATTGTATCAAAGGGAGAAGCTAAGGATCATGAGAAATTGGTTCGAAATGTGTTGCAGAAGTTGGATGATGAAAATCTCGCATTGAAAATTTCAAAATGTGAATTTTTTCAGCCCTCAGTGAATTGGCTAGGCCATAATTTATCGGCAGAAGGTACAATACCGAAAACTACGAAAACGGAGGCCATTGCCAATCTACAACCTCCCAAGTCACTAAAACAACTTAGATCGTTCATGGTAGCATTGATCACTTATCTAAGTTCATTCCGAATGCGCTAATTTAACTGATAAACTCCGACCACTGTTGAAAGAAGAAAATGAAAAAAAATGAAGAATGTTCGACTACCAGTGAAAAAATTTGATTGTGACAATCAACACTCTGTAGCGTTTGAGGAAATAAAAAAGCAGTAGCCAATATCGCTTTGTTAAACTATTATGATCCATCTAAAGAAACTCGAATAAAGTGCGATGCCAGTCACAGTGGCCTAGGGGCTACTCTTGATCAATGGTCTGACCAAAACGAATGGGTACCGATTGCATTTGCATCTCGGTATCTACAGTCCCAAGGTATCTACGGTTCTACTAATGAACTCGAGCTGCTAGCGGTAGTTTGGGCTGTAGATCGCTTCAAACATTATTTATTGGGAAAAGAATTTGTCATAGCAACAGATCACAAAGCTTTAAAGTCTGCTTTGGAGGAGCATAGATCAAATAAAACGTATCAATCTCGACTAACTAGGTGGGTTGACCGATTACTACCGTATCAATTTAAGGTTATCAATATTCCTGGAAGGGATATGGGTATCGTTGATTATCTCTCGAGAGAGCCCAATGGAGATCCATGGCCTGAATTTGAATTAGATGAGAGATTTGTAGTGACTTCGATTGAAATATTTCACAAAGCGCTTGACTGTTTGAGCAGTCGGTTTATCGAAACGGATCAAAAGATTGACGTTAACATTCTAGAACATTCTGCAATAAGAAGCGAAATTAACCACTGTAAAGACAACTCATCACACGGTTGCTATGGTGACCGGTTTGTTCAAAACTGGACAAAGCTCGACCGGAACGAAAACGGTCAAAGCTCACGTTTTCAAAGAGAACAGAATGAGAAAAACACATTAAACAAGATCGTATTAAACAGTCAGATGAAAATTCAAACAAAAAAGATTGCAATAAAATTTCAAACCAATCGGCGATCAGTAGAAGGATGGACAAAAACCAATCGGGGTCAGGAAAGTCGAAGAAGATGACGACCAGAGAAAATGAAGAACGAAGGGACGAGTTGACAGAGCAGGTGA